AGGGAGATTAGGGATTAAATGTCCCCGAAGCCGAGGGCAGATAAGTTGAAGTCCCGACGTCCGCAGGCCGGAGGGACTTTTACTTATCTGCCCGAGGCTGAGGGACATTGAAGTTAACGAACCTTAACTTCAACCCCGAAAAGTTGTTTTTACATTTGCAAGTATAATGCCAAGAAGCTTGTCAACTATTATCAAACATTGAAATTCGTCAATTGCACATGCTCAGCGGTACGAAGTAGAGACTCGGAACCAGAGCTACTCTGCCAATTTGGCCCGAAAATCATCCCACATTTCAGTGTGACTGAGACGATAACCAGACCGTTCGTTGCAGAGGTAAAAAGAAGACAGCTGTAGGGACATTCAGTTGTCCCTGCTGGGACGCAAAGGTTTCCTTTGCCTTCCGTTCCTCATGAATAACATGAGGGAAGATTACTGGTAATCGTCCCTCATGTTATTATGCATGAGGGACGATTACTGGTAATCGTCCCTCATGTTATTATGCATGAGGGACGATTACTAGTAATCGTCCCTCATGCTATTCGTGAGGGAGGGATGTTCGCTTGTAAACATCCCTTGGAAGACAAAAGAATCCGAGGTGATCATGGTATTATAAGATTAAAAGCAAGAAGCCTAAAGATTTTGGATTAAGTCGTAGAAGAGCGAGAGCTGCGTGTATTATTTCACATTCTTTCTTGTTATTAATGTTTTGGTTTGGTGTAAGTTTTTGCGACTATTCAGAGACCTTCTCTAATAATAACGAAACTAATTTATCGATCTGTCTGTCTAAAGATTTTGTTCACATCGCCATCTTGCGTGCGCAAATGGTGGCGAGAGACAACAGGAGACTGGGATCTACTACAATGTCACAATTACTTACTTACTGCCCGTTAAGTCTAGTGGTGTGTAGGGCAACTAGTAAATTCTTCCATTCCTGTCTATTCTGGGCATTTTTTTTCCATGTTTATCCCATATCTTTCATCTCTGTCAATAACGTTCTTCGTCAGGTAGTTGCCCCCCTCTTTTCCCTTTTTCCCTCTGGAGTCCAATGTAGAGCTTATTCTGACATTATTCTTTCTTGTTCCTTCTGAGGACGTGGCTCTGCCATCTCCAAACGTTACAATAATAGTGCCACATTTTATATGGCGTTCGTCCACATGGACAATCATCGACAATTTTAATCATAGCATTAAAACTAGCATGCCAGCTTTACAACAAATACAGAAACCAGATATACAAAAACTGACTAATTTTGATCGTCAACTACGTCAAATAAATATTGTCACATAAAAATTGTTCGTGTCGAAAATTTTGAAATCTTAACTCTCGAAAATTTCCTGCGTTTTGAGGCGATTTCCAAGACACTATTTACTGCACACATTCAGCGATATTATCGATAAAATCCCAAAGACGCAAAAAAAAGCCTCAATTTTAATTATTCACGTTCAGTTTTTGCACAATTTTTATAGAATATATATGGTGAAATAGACTTCTGAACCTTTTACGTCACTACTTGATTTTCAATRMATTRTGGGATCAGTTTCAAGAGAAAACAAAAGAAATCCGCCATGTTTTGTCCCAAACATGTCCTACAATGCA